TTCATTAGACTTTAAATAACAATTGTAATTAAAATAATTTATGAAAAATGAACAACACTTGAAATAATAAAGTTTATACTTGGATATTGTGGAACTATTTTTGTGATAGTGGTATAATAATTATAATATGATAGGTAGTAGTTTGTTGTTGTAGGTATACCTATAATATAATATAATGGTAAACACAAAATTACTTAAATTTTAAAACACCTCACCTCATATAATAAATGATAATAAGCAAATAGTTATGTAGGTAGTTGTATTTAGCTATAACTAAGAGTTAAGACCGACCTACAGGCTACAAGATAATAATATGCGAATTCGGAATTTCTATTACTATAAAGTAGAAATAATTACTATAATTTCAATATTATCTAACAAATCCATGGAACTATGCATAAATTAAAAAAGTTCATAAATCAGCAAATTATGAAAATATATTAATCTATTATATTATATTAATATCAATTAATGTTGTTAAAATATTTTACAGTTTAAAATAAATTGCAGTGGAAACGGTAGTTGATGAAATCTCGACATTTTTATTGTTTTATAATAATTATTAATTAGAATTTACTATTTAGTATTATATAATTTATCTAAATATGCGTATGGGATATTGTGATGGATCCCCCCATGATCTTTTAATTAGATTCTGAGTGGAACGATAGTTGTATTGATATTACAATGATATCTGATTTTTTTGGCCGTCATACCAGCAGTAAAAATGCTTCGATTTTCTACTTCAGCATATTTTTTTGTAAAAAGTGATTCAAGTTGGTATTTTGGGACCAAAAATGAACCAACATTTTCAGTAGTTTTCAAAATATAGAAAAAAAAAAAAAGGAAAAAACGGATATTTTTACGCAAAACGAGTTTTCTAAAAATCATTTTGTTATTTGGTGGAAGTGTGTATTGTGTAACTTTTAAAAAAAACCGTAAGTACAGTAGATAAATTACATTTTCACCGAATGTTTATACTACCATTTTCTATACACAATGAAATTTTCATATTATTTTGACTCTTTTTATAAGCTATTTATAGGCAGAAAAAAATTATGTGTCCATTAACTTAACATTATTTTGTCCATAAACATTTTTTTTGAGGTGTCAAAAAATTTAAAAATCTGATACAATGTTTCTTATAAGTAGTTGTTATTGAAAATTAAAAAAAAACAATTGAGCGTAAAATCACAATATTTTTTTATGAGCGTCTGAAATTGATTAGACAGTTGAATATTCAACTATAATTAAATTGTTAAAATGTGTGGTGTACTGGTGTTCACTGCCAAACACATACTAACTGAATTCTGAATGATTAAAGTACTTAAGTAAGTACGTAGACTCAAAAATCAAACATCATATACAATATCAATTAAGTGAAGCCTTTCACCAGCTGATCTTCAATCAAATAACAACATCATCAACTTCTTAAAAGAAATAAAATTATAAAACCTTATTTAAGCTTAAATTAAAATATAAGCCACGTGTAAAACAAATGTAGGTATATTAATAACTAATGGCCTAGTATAGCTGATGTTCAAAAAAAGCTGTGGGCATAGCGATAGTGTATCTAGTGTTTGTGAGTGCTGAATTGATTTTGATTAGTTAATTTCTTATTATTATAATTATTACGATTTACTCAAAAATTTGGCATAAAAATTCCTGTTTTTTTTTCATTTTTTTCCAACCACTTTTTTAAATGTTGACCTCCCCAATACACCAACTAGATTATCTTTCTCGTCGGAGAAGATACTTTTTTTTTTTTGATTCATGTGTTTTTATTTAATCTGTTAGGTACAGTAAGAACAATAAGAACAATTGCAGATGTTTAGTAAAAGAATAAACGGAGAAGATACTGAAGTTGAAAATTGAAGCATTATTTCAACTACTTATCAAGTACACAGACATAAGAAAAAAAACATACATAATTTTAAAATCAAAATGAAAATTTAGAATTTCCATAAATACATCAAAACGAGTCAAAATATTTTTAAATTATTATAAGTATACAACTTTTTGTTTGTCAATGGTATGCAAACTTACGAGGAATCTTGTGTTAAATTTACAAATCTCAGATACAAACATTTTACAATTTTTTTTAAAAATTTTCATTACCAATAACTTATGAGGAACTTTGTATTACATTTTCGTATGTTTTTACCAAGCAAAAAATGTTTGAGTATAAATGAGTGAAAAAAAAACTAAAAAATTTTTTAGTAACTATAAATATCCCAAAAATAATCAATTTTATCATTTATGAAAAATGGTCATAATATAAACATCCCAGTGTAAATATAAAGTACCTATCTAATTTTAATAAATGGTTTTAATAAATAAATACACAAAAAAAACAAGATTTTATCGAAAAGTTTGACTTAAGACTCCTCGTTTTCCTTAAATTTTTATTTTCTTCTACGCTTTTGAAATCTTCTGTAAATTTTAAAATTCCATCTAAAGTTTTATAGGTACTAACTAAAGTCACTTTCCCATCAGAAATGATACTGAAATTGAATATCAAGACATTGTTTTTACTAGAAAAAATGTGTACCTACCTATAGGTACAGACAAAAAAAACATACATTATTGTAAAATCAATATATTCATTATTGCTCCCCTTCGAATCTAAAATGACAATCTTAAAGCTTTTTAATGTTATAAGCATAATGTAACTTGTAAGAATGTATACGATATTGTATACAATATGGTATTTGTATTCACCCCTACGGCTCCACCTACACAATTATTAGAAATCAAATTCAAATACAAGTGTGCACTACGGAAAATCAGAAAAAATAACCACTGACCATAGGTACTTGAAGTATTCACCAATTTTTTTGTTTTATTATTTTATATACATGGAAATTGATAATTTTCAAAATATTTTAATTAATTTTGAGCTATTAATAGAAATTTTAATTTGTTTTTAGTTTTTTTCTTCAAATGTCAATACATTTCTAAATAATAAATATACATATCTGGAGTCTTGGCACCTACTGTACAGCAGATTAGTACCCACTTGCCCACTTTTTTATACATAATATTAATGAGTGGACTACAGTATGATTTATCTTAAAATGTATGAATATATATCCCCCCGTGCAAGTTCTTGTCCACTCCACTGAACATACCAAATTATAGTTCAGTAGATTCGGTTTGTGTTATCAGCTCTAATATTAAAGTAAATTGACCTATTATTAATTTTAAAGGTATTTTAAAAGGTCTCTAAGTTTTAAGGTTCTTATTAGAACATAATCTGCTATCTTTTGGCAATTTTTTACGATATTTTAATTTTTAAGCGAGTTATGAAAATTTTTATATTTTAGTATTTTACATACTAATCACTCGCTTGAAAATTTAAATACCGTAAATAAACTGACGAGAGATAACAGATAGTTTTTTTACCTTTAGTTTAATAATTAGTCAATCTACTCTAATATTAAAGCTAATACATCACAAAATCGGTTTATTGAACCCAAATTTGCTCTTTCCTCTTAATGAATATTCATTGACAACATTAATTATAGTTTTAACAAATATAATGAATAATGTATGTTTTAAAATAATATTATACTCAACAACATTGCAATTTAAATTAATATTTTAAATGTCTGTGCACTAGATTTTGAATTGGCGTATTATTATCAATGTAAAACATAAGATTCTCTTTTGTTCAAACCCATATTAAACGGGTATTAGAGTGGCATGATTTGTGGGGCCAGGACCCATAGATTTAAGCTACTCATCCCTATCCAAAAATTTTTTTAATGCACAAATTTAATAGAAATTTTAAAATATAAAATAACATATGTTCCCTATCACGAAAAATTTCTCATTAAATGATAAAATCGTAATAAATGTTCGTATTTAAGTTGTAAATTAGTGAAAATGTAAGTTGTGAACAAAGGTCTATAATATGTTTTATTTTTATTATGATAACTTGTTATTGGTTTTTAAATATTTGTACAGTATAATAATTAGTAATTACATAGTTATTTTGCTAGTATAATTAATTATTTTATTTTAATTTTTAAGTGTTGTATAACTATATATATGTATTACCGTAGTCCGTATAATCAAACTAATAATTGATTTTTTTTTTTAAAAGTGAGGAGAAAGGTTTAAGTCTGAAAGTTGAGTGCCCCCCACTATAAGATAGTCTTGAATTTCGGGGTCCAATGGATCTTTAATCCGGGGTTGCTTTTGTTTCAAATATTTAAATAGGTATATAATATTATGTTGTTAGTGTTTAAATATTTTTCAAACTATATTCTTTGTGTGATAATAATATAACTAAATAGTATTTACTATTTTGTATCGAAAGACAATCTTGACCACAGCAGTTTGGCATAACAATAATATAAGTAATAACTATAATTCAGTTTTTAAAATTTTAGATTCCTTCTAGAATAGATTTTTTATATTATAATTTATTTATTTTAACATACATAATACTACGAATACAAGTATACAAGTATACATGTTAAGTACTTTAATTGACACTATAATTTTCAATAATAACTTATAGGTAGGTTATAGTTGACCGTAAATATTGCGTACCTACCTACGGTGAATTCTCAATTCTTCAGTATTTTTCTGTATATATTATGGCTTTAATATTTTTTACTGGGAATCTCATAACGAGAAGAAGCTTTTTGAACACCCTCCTCTCACAAAGCCAGCCCACCCGTTTACCGACTAATTGCTGACAATCCTAACTTGTTTAGTATATAACACTTAAATCTCCGTTTTCCCTCCTGGAGCAGCCAGGACGAAGGGTTCCAGTATGGCTACCACCAAGCCAATGCGAAAGAGCTGGCGCCGATCAATGCAGCCAATGGGAGGCGTCGTAGGGACGGTCTATAGGGGGTGACTAAGTAACACACAATGCCTGCGCGTTTACGGGTTTTGGTGTAGTAAATCGCGAACAATTTGCCCGTCAAGCTTCTAGGAAACGCGACGTCATTTATTATATAGTTTAAATAATCAAGTCAAATAAAATGCCAGAAAACCATAGAAAATCGTCTCCCGGGCACTCCACATCATTTTTAATTGAGGACATATTATTCAGATCAAAGAACAACAGACCAAATTCAGAGGTAATTTATTGTCATTAACATATTAACAATGTATAACTTAAACTGTACATTATATAGTTATCTATTGTATAAATTAATATAAAATTCATAATGTTTTCCATCTTATCATTCACAATTAACCAACAAATATATGCAAACTAAACATTTTTAATTTTTACGTTCTAATGTTTCAAACTCTATAATAAAATGCTTTGCACAAAAATATAAATGACAAAAATGCGTTTCCTTCATACTCACCGCCTTACTTACATATACTCATAACATAACTAATATATAGCCTATCGATACCTATTTTAAGTTGAATTTCATAAAATACTAGTAGTAAATGTATACCGAAACAAAAACAATAATTTGTTTTATACTACAATTAATAATTTATTTTTACAATGGTCCATATAGGTATAGTTTATAGTTAATTAAAATAAATATTAATTCCTATAATTTATTATATAATAGGTAAGTACTTACATCACAGTTTTATAGGTTTTATACTATTGAAATGAGAATAAATATTATCAGTATATAATAGTAATATAATCAGTATAAATAAATTGTCGATATTTTATAAGATAATTATTACTCTATTATTGATGTATGCAAAAATGTTAAATTATTAAAGGTAATTTTGGGCGACTTGGTGCACTGGTACCTGGGTGTGTAAGTGGTGAAATCATCGAAGTTATATTCACAGTTCACACTAATAGAAAATAGTATTTTTCACCTATTCAGTTAATCCTCCGGGGGCGTCCCTGATTACCACCGCATAATATATATTTTATATATTTGTTATAAGACGTATCAAAAATATTGAGTATATATTATATATCTACTATAAAATAATTGTTTTTAATTGATATTAAAATAACCAGTAAATCTTGGATTAATTCAAGCATAATAATTATGATAGGTAATTTAATAGAACTATGATATTTAATATTAGGTATATGTATTCAATTTTCTAATTATATAATGATATAATTATTATTATATGAGTTATAAATGATTTGTGATAATATGTTGAAACTAAATAATTTTTCTCTTTTATTACAAATTTTAAAACCAATTCTTTAAGAATTTAAGATTATTATTTTTGATTCTTAGTAGTCAATGAAAAATTATTAGATTAACTAGTTTTATAAATTTAACTACAATTCCTCACAAAAAAGTGTTGAGCAAAAAATGTATTATTAACCGATGATTTAAGTTTATAAAGATTGAATCGATAGTTAAATATCAAGTTTCACTAAAAACATATTCATTGTATTTATCATTTTATTTACAAGTGTAAACATAAAATAATAATAATTTTAGTTAATTAAATTAATTAATATTAACTAAATATATTTTATAACTAATAAAAATAATATAACCAAACAAAATTAATTACGGATGATGATTGCATTTTTAATTCAAATAAAAAATACACGTTTTAAATATTACCTACTTACATTTATTAATTATTTTAAGTTTTTAACTTATTAACACTGTTCCTAAAATTTAGATCTATTGCAAATTTGATTATAAACATATTTGATATAATTCTATAGTTAAGGGAATACACGTGCACCATTTATTTTTCTCTCCAACCTAAGTACAACATAGATACAAAACGCATTCACGCAAACTCATTTATTATTGTTTTTGGTTGCCTAATCTTGAACTATAATTATGCAATTTATTATTAAACGATTACAGAGAATAATATTTTAGTGAGTTTGACATATCAGTTTTATATTTTATTTATTATTTGACTTATTATTCTTCTGGATAAATAAAAAATATTTGTCAATTCAAATGGAAATACATTTTTTTTTGCGACAATATTTAGACAAAATTATACGTCAAACCATCAAAAATATTAATCTCTATAATTTTTGTAATATTTGATACTACTTAAAAATCACTTAAAAACCATAAAAACCGATTTTGCGTGAATACATTTTGTGAACGTTGGAAGTGGGTCATAAAGAGAAAACAATATGCACCACTACACTGACATCCTTTTAAGCACACTTTTGAAAATGTAAATTCTCTTTTTATTTTTATTTCAACGTGTTTTTAGTTCTTTGAAGTGATATCTTTGTCTCTCACGTCTCACGAGGTGTAAACGATTACAAAATAAAATTATGGGTTCCTTTACATTTGCTTGTATTAAATTCGTAGACCGTAGTCTTAAAATAAGCATTTAAAAAAAGTTCCAGGTAACCAGTCACGAAAGAAGTCGAAATCATCAATTGCCACAAAGTCAAGAATGTTTTCCAATGTTGCCATCAACGGTGGCTTCGGCGTATTTATCATATCCAGCACACTACATGCATAAAAATGCTATTGCAGAACCATTTTTCATCTCACCCCAAGGTAACTATTGGTGAAAATTAAATATAAATTCTAAAATATATTTCGATAAATAGTCAAATACAAAATGAACGTATACATTATACATATGAAACCATAAAAATATTATAATATGATGGCCCGATGGATGTCATCGACACCTGGATTTCAATATCTATATAGTATATTATTGTTATAGTGTATCCTGCTGCAGGCTGCAATGTATTCTATATTTCTATTGTGCCGATGTTTTTTTAATGTAACTATTTAAGCAATATATCAGAGCCTTGTATTCAATTTGGAGACTTTTTGGCCCAATAAATAACATTTAATTAATATTTATAGAAAAAAAAACTAAACAAATTGAAATTGGAAATTGTCCGTAAACAGCTCAAAACAAGTCAAAATGTTTTGAAAATTTTATCAAGTATAGATAAATTATATAATTGACAAAATAGACATATGATTTAAATCTCAAATGTCTACGGTTATTCGTTTTTAAAATACAGCAAAATAAGAAAATCGCCACATGAGAAATTGAGTAAATATCCAATGTTGTAAAAATTTGAACTTCAAACGCTCATAAATATTTCATTTTAGTTTCAAATAGATATTTTTTTTTTTTGATAAAGGTAGATAACCTTATAAGTAATCTTGTATTACATTTTAAAATCTTAGATTTAAAAAGAAACATTTTGATGAATTTCTAACTCAAAAACAAATTATTTTTTGCTTATCGTCAAAATTCGAACAATTGTGACTTCAAAAATTGTAACTGTGGATTTTTAATATTTTTCAAATATTCTTATAACAATATATTAAGAGCCTTATTGTATTCAATTGTCAAGCTTTCTTACCCAACAAATACAATTTTATTGATATTCAAAGAATAAAAAAAGTTGGTTAGTGGATGTCGCTCTGCTGTAGAGAAGGTTGCAGTGGGTCAATGTATAATGGATTGTATTAAAATTGAGATCAATGATATAATATCATTGTATAAAAAAAAGATTCTGAGTGGAGACAGTTTGTCAATCTGGATATTTTAAATTGTTATTAATAATTATAGCCTATAATAGTTGAATAAATTTTATAATATTATAATATTATAATTTTTTATTCGTTTCTATAATGATACACAAAGCATTAGAAATTAAAATATCATTTTTAGAGGTTTTTCGTAATTTTCGGTGTTTTTTCCCGTGGAATTAAATAACTATTGAGAAAATCAAAAAACGACCTCTTTAAAGTACCATCTTGAACCAATTCGCTAAAATATAAGCTACTATATGTTGAAACCAAAGCACTCCTTCTGGTAGAAATTTTGTGTACAGGATAAAAAAAAAAAAAACACTATTGTAAAACCACTGTCCACTAGCTTCCTCGCTCCGCTCAGAGTCTATAAAAACTAAAAAAATTAAAATTGATAATGTCTGTAAACAGCTCAAAACGAGTCAAAATATTTTGAATATTTTATGGTGTACAAAACAAATGCTAATATAAATGTTCAGTGAAAATTTAATATATCTAAGGTCATTTGTTTGAGTTACGACAAAACCATGCAAAATCGATTTTGTCAAAAACTGATTTTGCTTAAAAATTCCCGTTTTCCTTAATTTTTATGTGGTTTTTCCCAGCTCTTTTGAATTTTAAATCCTTAAAAATTTTTAATTTTGACCTTCCGAATGCACCAACTATAGATTCAGTTTCCCGTCGAACAAGATACTGTTAAAGAAAATCGAAGCAATTTCACTGCTCCAAACCGTGTGTCAGACACAAAAAAAACACATATCATTGTAAAATCAATACATTCAATACATTAACATTTTTTTTCAAATTCGAGGCTTCCAAATGTTAATAAAAAGCGCGAGGCCCATCTCCCCCCCCCTAAGGATGGCCTTGAATCCCCTTAACGGATTATATTATTGTAATATACGTATATAAAACCTCACGGAAACTTGGAATAGGTCGGTCGTAGCCCGTAGGTATAAGGTATATAATTATTTTTCACTTGTCAAGTTTTTTTTATACATTGGTATAGGTAAGTACTAATGAATAATGATAATATATATGATTATGATTTTAACATTTGTTTGTCTGGCTCGATGGCACGATTATAAATAATTTTGTGTGTTGGTAGTTGGAACACATTGTACCTATTTAGAAAATAGAAATAGTATTAATGCAACGTGAATGTTGCTATGATTATTTTAGGGGTACCTTTTGGAAGTATTTGGGGTGCCCGATCAGATTACGGTCATGGACAACTAAGTTCTAGGCTATGTCGCAGACGAAAAGCTCGGACTGTATTTTCCGATCAACAACTCACGGGGCTAGAAAAAAGATTTGAAGTTCAACGATATTTAAGCACGCCAGAGAGGGTTGAACTAGCTACCGAACTGAGATTGTCTGAAACACAGGTCAGTAATAACTCATAATTGACTTACATATAATTAGTATAAATGTTGTGTTTATACTCAAAAGTATTAAATCATTAATCTTCAGGTCAAAACATGGTTTCAAAATCGAAGGATGAAACATAAAAAACAATTGAGAAAAGTGAATGACGATACAACGGTTACTGGATCAGAGAAACCTGCAGACAACACTGCGAACAAATCGCTAACCTCAGGTGAGTCACACATTGCAATTATATATAGGTACAATACAAATACGAGTACCCTACCGAAGTACTTATTTATAACCTGAGCTATGAGTTTAATAAAGTTCAAATTGAGTTACACTAACAAAATCGTATACTTCAGATTATCCTGTGGACTTTTCATCTAAAGGATCAGTTTGTGGTGGATTAGATACAGGCACCCAGGAATCCAAAGATTTAGCTAGACAAAGCAGGTCGCTTAACAACGACGATGAGAGGAGTCAACGGTATGACCTAAGTGAAGTCTCTGAAGTAGACGACGATGATGACGTCGACGGTGCCGATGATGAGATTATAGATATTGTTGGTGACCACACGCATATGTTAAATAGCGTACAGCGAAATTATGAACAACAAAGATTTTTCTAATTAAAAACTAAAAACCTTTTTACTATCTATTATTATTATTATTATTATTATTATTATTATTAAACTGTGCACAAAACAGTTAGAAACCAATCGTATCTATACTTCTTATAATATTTCAAATTTTTAAACATATACCTAATTATTAATTAGGTAGGTACATAGATTAATTAATTTAGATATACATAGTTTTATATTATAATATATTAATACCTTTGTAATGTAAAAAAAAAAGTTGTCTGACAAATAAGAAAACGAATATTATGTTATCTTTGGCGTTATACACTTCCAATAAAATTGTTTGTCTTCCAATTTTTTATGTGTCGCTATATTGTAAGTAAACTAACATTATATTTGAATAGCTCAAATGTATAATAAATACATATATTAGGGATTAATTATTATAAGGATAAATATAATTTTTAACAATATAGGTAATGTATGTTTTTAATTTCTTATTCTAATGCATTACAAAAATTATATTTGTACAATTGAATAATAATTGTTTAATAATTAAAATATTATTTAAATTATTGATAATTAGGTACCGTACTCTTTATAGGTAATACAGTACAATTAAATTAAGCAAATGTTAAAATAAATTTCAAAAGCTGATTGCCGATTGGTTATTTTAATATTAAATAAAACATTTTATTTATTAATTATAATTCTATCTACTATACATTTAAAAAAATTCATAAAAATAGATGTTGTGTTAAAATATAGTTTATACACATAAACAACCGTCATGTAAATGTGTATTTTTCTTGAATTAAAATTAGATCTTTTTTTTTTTTTTAATTTTTATAAGAAAATTTACAGTCTGTACAATTTGCACAATAAGTAAATATGATAACTGACATGATACTATATATATACATATAAAACACATGGAGCACATGATGAGGGAAATCATCCAGCGGTGGTACGCTCCAGCAAAATTAGATCTTAATAAATGTCTTTCGAATCATTAAAGATTCTTAGATACTATTCCACCATTAAAGATTTAAAGAAACAAACAAGCACTATTACTAATATGAACTCATATATTATTTCCACATCATCCCATCATTAATAATCTGCGGGAGGACTTAATCGTTTTGACGAATTTTAAACTTATTTTCCTGGGTGTTTGTATAGAATACCGCAACGTCTTATTTGTATTATAGATGATACTCTAAAGGTCTAAGCCCTAAGGTATGGTCCTATATTCCTATTGCAATACATAACATAGCAATAAAGAAACAGTGCTATTGAGTTAACATTTTTAATATAAAAAATTCGTTTTAATTTCAGCACTTATACAGGATATTCTAGGCCACCTATTTGATTTAAAATGTATAAATTAACATTATTGTAAGCGTACGTGTCATTTAGGCTTAAGTGTTTTTTTTTATTTAAAATAATAATATATTCTCTAATAAACCGCCATATAATAATAATACACTAATAGCATACGTTTTACATTTTTACCATCGACCATTTTTTTTTCGCGCTCTAACGTGTGTTCATTTATACTCTTTGATAGTTTGATATTATTATACGGTATGCACATTATATATAGCGAAGAGTAAAATTATTGAATTATCCCGCCACGAGGGGTTATTTTTCCGCCTGTTCGTATACCGCCGTCGTCCTCGTCGTCGTCATAATACTATACACATACATAAATGAATCGACGGGCGTGGACGACACTAATTTGATTACCTATATGTGATATTAAATAAAGCATCAATGGCCACGCGCCCGCCTAATAATAATGAAATGCTTACAATATATTATATAATATAACCTTATCCGATGTAGGGGACGGCGAATATAAAGGTGCAGCCGACGCTTGACTCCTGTCATTTCAATAATTTAACTCTATTATTTGCAATTACTTCTGAATAAAAACACTTAAAATCCTTCACGGAGAGCAATAATAAAGGACATGTTGATTAAAATGTTAAACGTCAGCACGATAATCTATTTATATTCCCTTAATTTGTAACAATATTTTTCCCCGCGCAATAACAATATTATGGTACCCTTAGATCATATATATAGTACCTATTTAGTATATAATCTAAGTCTTAGATTCTAAGACGGTATACCTATACCTACCTATTACCTGCCGGCTGCCATTGATAATAATATTTATAGTACCTACTATAGTTACTACCTATTTACTATTTATACTATTTGGAGAGCTCGGGACAACAATCAGATAATTTAACTTCAGGAGCAATAAAAAACGTTTATTTTTTGGATTAAACATCTAATAACATTAATTATGTTTTCAATTCTATAGGTACGTTATGCCTAAATGCCTGATAATACTGAGTACCTAGTGAGTATCATGAACTAAGAAGATCTTCTTAGTTCATGGTGAGTATGTACCCTATGCACTTTTATTTATTTGATCTGTGCGTATAGGGACGTATGTTGTACCTATGAATAATGTGAATATAGTATATATATATATAGGTACCTACAAGGCTATAACCTATGGTTTGTTTCAAAACAGATTACTTCTAGGCAAAAATCTAGCAAATGTACGACGTGATAATAATGCCAACCATTATAAATAATAATATAATGCCAACTTCTATAATATTATAACTGAATAACCCGGTGTCGCACGTGTGCAATTTTTTGAGTAAATTGTTACATTTTTCTTTTATTAACTACGCGGTTACCCCTATAAAATGTCCTTCTATAATATAGTTACGTATATGTATAATGTTTTCTGTGAATATGCAATATAATAACTTACTATTATTATAAATTATTATTTACTAAAATATATTTAATATTTCGGGTTTTTTTTTATTTATTTAATTTTACAAAATTTAATTAATTTTAAATATGTGATTTGGGAAAAAATTAATTTACTCTTTAAGTTACTGAATAACATGGGGAAAATGTAACTCGTTAAGTTAGAAGTTACTTCTAAAAAAAAAAGTAACTCATTAATTAACCTAGTTAAAAGTAACTTAACTTTTTAACTTAACTTTAACTTATTAACTCGTTAATGCCCAGCCTTGATGGTAATTCTATGGTATAATATACCATATGCGCGTTATACAGGTTAGGTATCTCGGTTTGAGTATAGTTATCTCAGTTTTAATGCACCTCAGTTCACGGACAAATGGGCTTTAGTGCACCTACATAGCTTTGTGCCTTTGTGAAATCCACCTAGATGGGAAACCGCAAGTCACTGATTGGATTAAACACTTGGTATATTTTTTAACGTGGTTGGAACTGCAAATTGCCCAAACTTTTCTGAAAACAATCTGTGAAATTCTCATAAATTAGTTTATTGAGTTCCTAGTTTTTGACTACATAAGCAACATACATACATTTGGTTTTATAGGATATAGTTTCTTCAATCAAGGCCATGTAAACGCGACGCTTGTACCTGATCTGCCCGAGTAACATAGCAACCATTTATGAACAAAAAAAAAGTTTAAATTTCCACCTTGAATCTCATGATCCCTCTTTGACCACCTGTTTAAAATGCAAATCATGGAAAATCCTTTCTATATTATATTATATTCTGTATTTACATCATAAAACGAAACTACTGACCAAATTTTATACCTACCTACACAAAGCTTCAGCGGTTCCGGTTAGGCGATGATGAATCTGGAGTCTGGACAAGTTATTTTATATAGTGTGTCCGCAAAAACTGCGTACACTATGTGGTCTATAACTCAGTTACCTACCTACATTACTCCGTACCCTATACATGTTTTAGATTTCTGTCTACGGGAAATTGATGATCCAATAGTCTAGTTTTATGCCCCGCAAATAGAATTCAAAAATATGTACATTATTATATCCTGTTTTCGTGGATACACGGCATATGTGCATTGTGCATATACTATTATAATTATTATAATATATTGGTTATAGATTTAGTAGTAGTATTGTTACGAGTACCCACCTCAGTGTCATACGCGGGGGGGGGCTAAAGCACCCCTCCCCGTTGGCCTTACTATTATTACTTTAAAATAGTATATTTTTAAATAATTATACTACGATTTTATACATAGACATTATTAAATAGGAATATCCGAATATATACAATTGTACTTAAATTAGATTTTATATTTTAAACTTAAGGTTTTATTTTTAAACAATCAGATAAGTTCTTCTAAGTTGTATTCTTGAGATTTAAATATTTTCATACATAAATAAATGACTTATAAGTAATAACAATATAAATGTTTAATAATTGAAAATAGTTTGCAAATGCATGACTTCAGAACTTCAGTAAATGAAGATAAAAAAAACCACGGATACGGAATACATAGAATACGGATAATATCATTACCTTTAAAATATTTGACAATAAATACTGTAATAATAAAACTAAAAACACAAAATTAATACCGCCGAAATTAAAATATGTTTTATGTTGAACAGGCATTATATAATATTATACACTTTGCCCGCTTCATGTCATAGGTAATAAGCAGGGCTCGTAAGTTCATGCATCTGCATGTTTTTTTTGCTACACAGGAAAACATGCTAACTGTGATATAAATCCGTTTCATAAAAATAGTAATAATAATATGAAGTTTGATAGTGCATGTTTTTGCATGTTTTGGGTGTAAAGTCATATTTGGCATATAGTTGATTTTTTACAGTCATTAGTGCATATTATTTCATAAAAATATTTTTTAGACAAATATTTGAAAAGTTTCTTCCGATTTTTGATATCTTGTTCCAATCGTCCAATATCACATGGTAAATTATAACGGTTTTTTAAATTTTTTATTGATTAATTATTTAGCTAATTCATAAAAATATCGAAAATCGGGCTTCTTACGATTGTAAAAAAAGTTCTACTCTACAATTTTTATAATAGGTATTTTTACTGTAAGCTACTTCAATAAGCCGTATTACTTGCATTACGAAACCATGGTTTAATTCCATATTTTATCTACTAGTGCGCCCTCTTAAGTTGGAAAACATAAAAAATACACTTATAGAATATATTACTAAATTATCTC